TTCTCTAACAAAGTTAAAAGATCCGGAGATCTTTTAACTTTGTCTTTAAAGTGCCTTTGACCGTTTAAAAGGGACTTTAATCCCACAAGGTTTCAAAAACATTTCAGATTTAAGAGCAAATATAATTATATTGACTTTTCTATCAAATGTAACCATTCAGTAGTTACTTGTTTAAGAATGATAGCCCCAGTTGTTCTTTTAATTCTTTTTGAAGGGGTTTTAAGTTGTAGATCACACAAAAACAGCAAAGTGAAGGCATCAGTTTGATGTTCATGTCCATGGTGTCAGTTTCAGCTGTTACATTTTACAGAAAGAGCAACTCAATAATGAATCAAGAACAGCTAGGCGTAATAGATAATGAAATATAATTTCTTTAGCAACCCAATTTTTTTTTTGATTGAACAAACAATATTTAAACTAATCACAAAGTTTGTTTCAAACCAAGAACATTGTTACAGCAGTTTCACTTCACAGCGAGAAGGTCCTGGCTTCAAGACCTTACTGTGTGGAGTGTGCACATTTTCCCTGTGACTGTGCGGGTTCTCTCCCAGTACTCCAGCTTCCTCCCACACTCCATTGGGTCAGGTTAATTGGTGATTCTAAACTGACTCTATGTGTTAGCCCCGCAACAGATTGGCGACCTGTGACCCAAACACCCCATCCACCAAATTGGATAAGCAGAAGAAACTAAATGTAGCTTGCAGTGCATTTTGTTAAATTTAAATTAGTGTAGCAGCGGCAACTGTCCCCGGGTTGGTCCCTTCAAATCATAGTTTGCTGCATGTAATTTCCATTTTGTTAATTTAACTAATTATACATTTCTGGGAAATATGAAGCACAAAATGAACAATGGCATGTCCCCTATTATCTCATCCTGTGCTGCACTTTAATAATAATAATAATAATACTACCAGCTGGCGCATCTGAAGCTCATTAACATATTACATCTTGTAGAAATATTAAAATGATGATATGTAGTTTCAGGCTGAGTGCTGTTATTTTAATTCCTTAGAATTTTATTTGGCCTTGTTGCCCGGCAACCCCACTAACAAGATTCCGAAACTCAAAGTGACTGTTGGTCGCTAGGAAACATCACATAACCAAAATGTAATTTTTATATTCCTTTCTGTATGTGTGTGTGTGTGTGTGTGTGTGTGTGTTTTTCTGAGTGTGTGTGTGTGTGTGAGTGTGTGTGTGTGTGTGTGTGTGTGTTAATTAGTGAGCCTTAGAGGTGATGGTAGGAGTATTTTTTAACATTAGCTGCATATCTATTGCACCGACATGAAAGAAGTGTTGAGCTTTTCATCTCACAGGAAGAAAGTGAAATTACTTTTTAAGACGTTAAAAGCAATTTATGGATTCACAAAAAGACAGACTTTGACAACAGCTTAGATCTCATTAAAAGCGAGCCTTTAGCTACTTTAAATGTATCTGTTGCACAAAAGTTGTTTCGCTCTTAACTATCCAAAGTAGGATTAATGTACTATAAATATGGAGGAAATCAAAACCTTTTATTCAAACTGAGTAAAACATGCTTAGACAAATATTAAATCAAAAAGCTCTGCTCGCAGCATTCAAGCAAGAAACTTGTCCTTTAGAAAAATAAGAAATAATTTTTAATATTAGATGAATGTAACAACAAATAATGAGTCATTTTCCAATAAAGTCTTTTTTGGGGCTGTTCTTTTTGCACCATGGATGAACCAGTCTTTACTTTTGTCAAACCCTTGGGGCCTGTTTTACATCTCATGTGAGATCAAACCAGATGTCCTAGAAATAAGTTTATGTGCAACTCTATTATTACTTTCAAAGAAATGTAAAAAGAAAAGCCTGGCTTGATTAGGAAATATATTTTATTAAATTTAAAGCCAGGAAGAGGTGGTTGGGGTTGATGGAGAGTGTGCAAACATGAGATTGGATGCAGTGGTTTTGCTTTTGTAACAAAAGTACTTTGGTTAAGGTTAAAGGTTAAAAGACCACATGTTGTGATTAAAGTCACTGTAGATTTTTTTTTTTCCTGTATGAAACCATACCATACTCTTTTAAAGCATTTGAGAAGTTACTCACTCTGCTCTGTCAGAGTGACCTCACTCATCAGCTCACCAAACTTTAGTTTTGTGTATTTTATAACATGAGACTTATGGCTAATATCAGTGTTCAGTGTCAGCCAAAGTCTAGCTGATCATTTTCCACATGTTTAGATTTCATTTTAGATTTGCAGCACTGTGAAGGACACTGAATGTCAAATCCTTATTGTTTCTCCCTCCAAATACAGACATTTTTATATCGTAATGTAGCTTAAGTGCAATGTTTGCACTGGCTATTGCTCATAGTAAAATATAATGGCCAAAATATTTCTAAAGCCAGCCTAGTAGTAAACTAGTATGTAGTCTGTTGTAATAGGCTAAAAAATGTTGTCTCACTTCTGTTTTTTAAGGTTGAAGTGAAGGAAAAGGAACTGAATGGTATCGGAATGGGTTCTCGTATATGTGCAATTATCTATGTGTGTTTGGTTTCAAGCTCTGCATGTGACCCGGGGTCCTCAGGCTGCTAAAAGCACAACATTCAACTCAATTAGTGCTATGCATAATTGATAGCTGTCTGGGAGAGTATTTGTATTTACACTGGAATTAAAAGCCTCCGGTGTCAGCTATCACATCTGAGGGACGATAAGTGTATGCGGGTGGGACTGTGTGTGTG